AAATACCTGAGTTAAGACGCTCTGACCGTATAAAGAGGCAGACGACAGGATAACAAGTTCAGTTTGAGGAGTGCCAAGAAGATGACAGTACTACCAACTGTCGAAAGCGCTCGCAGATAATCAATAGAAGATATAGAGCTCCAAATCTTTTTTGTAAAATTTAATATCGAAATACTGAAAATAAAGGAAAATTAGTTGCATCATTCAAAAAATTGGGGGGTGAAATTAGAGATAATATCACATACACGGATCAACTACCCAGTTGAAAGCCAGTCTAGCCTAGCTAGACTGGCTTTCAATTTCAATGAATATCACTTTAGTATTATTTTGAATGTAAAATTGGAAACTTGAAGTCAAAATGTTATATTTCATCTCAATCAATGGAAGTTTCGATTACTTTTGAATATATAATAGACCCAGTAGTAATTTTAGCTGAAATGAAAATAAATGTAGGTTAGTTGTTTCAGGGAGACTTCTGCGTCTTTTTGTATCTGAAAATAACTTATCTGCAAACTCCGGGGAGTTTGATAAAATAAACTCTGGAAAAGGTTTTGTGAAAAGAAAGTAGAAAAGCTAATCTCTCCTGAAAGTATATCATTTCAATTTGTACTTCATGTTTGGAAATCAATTACTACACAGTGATAGTACAAATAGTACAATACATACTTCTGTGCACTTAATCCTACTGTTTCGATTGGGATTGGCAAAATCTTTGCATATTCTTTGAATAACAAACTGCTGTCATCTTGAAATATAGGGGTATTTGTTGACCCAGGACAAATACAAACAACCCTTACATGACTCCTGTTGTAATGGAATGGGAGTCCCCAACTTTTTGTGATACCCGAAACTGCAAATTTTGTAGCACTGTATATCGGGAACAAATCCAATCCAGCTACCCCAGCAATAGAAGAAGTATTCAATATGACTGCTTCGCTGTCTTGTTTATGATTCTTCAAAAAATTTTCCAATCCTAAAATGACACCATGTATGGTTCCGTTCTGGAAATAGATTGAATTTGAATGAATGTATTGGTAAAATGAAAATGAAATTGAAATATTTTCATTTGTAAAGTATTGTTGTAGATCATGCCGGCCGCCACTGGTACCAATAAACCAAACGTGACGTAGCTGAGAGCGTGTGAATGCCCAATGTTCCCTGCCGCTCGAGAAGCAGCAAGAAACATGCTACCGATGTCGATGGAACTTCGGAAAAAATTCTACGATATTCGATTGCGATATTTAAATGCTGGCTACGAGCGTATCGAGACAGTCAAGTACACATTCAAGTGGAGGTCAGCACATTCCTCGGATTTATCACCACTGGATTTGATTAAACAAATACGTGGTAGCATCACACATAGCATGATGAAAGCCAGTTGTCTAGAGAACTAACTATATCATCGACTTGAGGCTTGACTTATATTGAATGGACGATAATTCAATTCTCATGAAGTATTCAGTTCGTATCCACAAATAACCGTGTTGTCATTGAATAACTAACTGTTATATGTGGTTGTTTCATTTGTTATAAAATCTTAGAATTTTAAAATATTCAAAATGAAAAACCACTTTGATTCAAAATGAATTTTGAGTGATTCTTATACTTTCGATAGATAAGCGATGTTGCTTGGAGAAATTCGTATCACTTGGCATTGTTGAGATATATCTTCCTCAAAAATCGCAATATTAACTTTAACGGTGACTGTGGGACGCCCGGTATGTCGCCCACGAAATCGAGAAACAGCACTTGTTGCGATCGGTATTTCCCACCATAAAATGAGACAAACTAATATTACATGAATATTCCAGGTGTAACAGAAAATACTATCCATTTATATAGGTTTTATGTATTAGAAAAATATATCTCAAAATTCTCGATATCTCAAAAACCACTTATTCTAAAAAATAGTAATTAATGACGTGTTTCTTATCATACATAAATAACAACTGAATGAAAGTTGACTAAAATATTGGAAAAGAAGTGAAAAAAATATGTTGTTTTTAGTTTAAAAATTATCGG